ATGCCAGAAGAGGGCACCAGATCTCACTACAGATGGTTGTAAGCCACCATGTGGTTGCTGGGAATTGAACTCAGGACCTCTGGAAGATCAATCAGTGCTCTTAACCTCTGAGCCATCTCTCCAGCACCACCACCCCCAGCACTCTTTTTGAGTTTGAGAGATTTTGCTAGGACTGCTCAGCTGAACTTCAGCTCACTTTGTAGGCAGACCTTCAACATGTGATCCTTCTGCTTTAGGCTTCCCAATGGCTGTTCCCAAGCAACTTCTTATTTTTGTTTGTTTGTTTTTAAAGATTTATTTATTTATTGTGTATATGGTGTTCTGCCTGCATGTGTGCCTGCATGACAGAAGAGGGCGCCAGATCTCATTACAGATGGTTGTGAGCCACCATGTGGTTGCTGGGAATTTAACTAGGAACCTCTGGAAGAGTGGCCAGTGCTTAACCACTGAGCCGTTCCTCTAGTCCCCTATTTTTTTTTTAAAGACAGGAAGAATCTTATGTAACCCAGAGTGGCTTCAAGCTCCATACATCGCTGAGACTGGTTTTGAGCCACTGACTTTCCCACTGCCATGTCCCAACTGGTACATTTACAGGTGTGCAAGACAAGGTCAGATTTACACAGTGGGAAAGACTGAACTCATGATCTCATATATTCTAGGCAAATATTCACCAAATGAGTGGCATCTCAAACACTTATTCTAGTACCATGCATGTTTTTTTTGTTTGTTTTGGGTTTTTTTTTTGGGGGGGGGTTGCTTTCTCAGTAGCTAGGGTTATAGGTCGATATTACCAGGCCCAGAAAGCTAGGGTTATAGGTCAATGCCACCAGGCCCAGTTCCTATAGCATTTATTGTTTTGTTTTATTTTATATGACCTGGCCTGGAACTCACAGTGAATTCCACACTGGCCTTGAACTCAGTGGCCTCCCATCTCACCTTCCAAGTGTTGAGACAGCAAGAGTGCCCCATGAGAGGTAGGGAAGTCAAACCACGGCTTCATGCATGCTAGGCGAGCAGCGGTCAGCGGAGCTACATGCCCAGCCCCAGAGTCTTTATCATTATTAACAGCACAAGCTGGCATTTTGGAGGGCAGCAGGTTCCTTGCTATGAGGAATCATTTTTTTTTTTGTTAAGATTTATTTATTATTATGTATACAGTGTTCTGTTTGTATATATGTCTGCAGGCCAGAAGAGGGCACCAGATCTCATTACAGATGGTTGTGAGCCACCATGTGGTTGCTGGGAATTGAACTCAAGACCTCTGGAAGATCAGTCAGTGCTCTTAACCTCTGAGCCATCTCTCCAGCCCGAGGAATCATTTTTTAGTATGAATTTTCAAGGGAAGGCTTGTGGGTTATGTTAGTGGTGACAGGAACAGAGACACAGCTCCACAGTGTCACACTGCTACACTCTGAGAAGTTCTCTTAATCGTTTAGGGACCTCAAACCAGGTTAAACCAGATCTTTGGCTTCAGAGTGGAAACGAAATTGTGAATCTATCCCAGTGGAGTTTTATTAAAAATATTTAAATATAGATTTTTAAGTTCAAGGGTTAAGAGAAGGAAAGGTACTCAGGAAAGAATAAGACATATCCAAGTTCACTTAAGAGGCAGAGGCAGGTGGATCTCTGGGAGTTCAAGGTCAGTCAGGGCTGTATATTAAGACACTGTTAAAATAAAAGATATATCCCTGCTAGGGTACCAGTCTTCCATAGGAAAGTCTCAATTAAATGTCTTAGGGTTGGACGTGTAGTGTTTTAATGGCTTTCAAGTTCTAACTCAAAGGACTACTATGAAGTTCCCCTCCCCCCTTTTTTGGTAGGTGAAGTTAAAGGGTGGCTGTGGAGGTGCCTTGAATGGGCTTATAATTTGATGAGGTAAAACCAGAACACTGGAGTTACACAAGACATTTAGGACATTTGCTTTATAGTAAATGGGGTTTCTACTGAGATTCCTAGACAATGCTGGGAAAGGAGGTAGGCTTAAGCAATTTTGTTAATTATGTTGGAACTCCTGATTCTCAGCTGGGGAGAAACTTCAACCAGAATCAGGTGAAGAACTTCTTTCCCTTGCCATGTCTTCAAAATTTCCCATCTCTATCCTGTCTTGAGGTAAAAAACGTGTGCATGGTTATCTAATGTTTCAATAAACAGCTGTTTCTTGAGTGTGGGCTGTGTATACCTTATCTCATTCACTTATGTTTGTGAGGTTTACAGATGTGCAGATCTAAAGACGATATACATGATCAATGCTTCTTTGTTGATCAAAGTGACTTATGTCTGGATTTTGTTGTGGTCAGCATTTCTGGCTCCAGGTATGACCTTTTCTTGGGACTGGAAAATCCTTAAGAAGTGCATTTCTAGCTAACTTTAGGGTGTCATCTATAAAGACTTCAGTGGTCAGCTAACTCTCATGCAGCAGAGCAGGCAAGAGAAAGGAGAAACTTTTGAGAATTGGGTCTCAATGGGGATAAGCAAACCTCAGTACCCAATGCTATCACGACTGCCCAGGGAGTAAAGATACTTGTCAGTTCCATCCTCAGAACCCACACCATGATACCCTAACCAATCAACGCTAAAAATTTAACATACAATATTGTTAGTGTTTTTGTATCAGCCTTGTGGGTCACAACCTGTGCCCCAGGACAGGTCTAGCCACTTGTCTTTAATAAGCTATGTTCCCTTCTAGAGCTGGGAGGACCCTTTCACGCGGGTCACAGCAGGGAAAAAGCAAGCTCAAGACAGAACACTTATTACCTATGTCTCCTTGAGGCCTCCCACTGAAAGAATGGCAGAGCTGTGTCCTCCATCTCTACAGTGCCTAACTGAGTTAAGGTCAGGTTCCCAATGCCATCGAGAGCTGTCTCCTCCACTGCCATGGTCACTGTTTTTCTATTGGCCAATAATACCCCAATATTGTTGACCAAAACACCCAAAAACAAAGCCAGTCAACCACAACTACACCAAGTGATTAAAAAGAACACCAAGTTGCTCAAAAGAGTCCAAAGGCGGACAGGAAGGCAAAACCTGAGGTGCACGGATGAGAGAGAGAGAGATACTTACCAAGTGTCCTGCTTTCTCAAAAATCCAAAAACAAAGTCCAAACTTGATTTTCTGCTTCCCCAAGTAGAGGTAAAAAGCTGCTAAGGGTCTGGAGGGATGGGTCGGTGGTTAAGAGCATTTTCAGGATTTGGTTCTCGGCACTCTTGTGGTGGTCTACAAACTTAAGTAACTGCAGTTCCATTGGATCTGATACTTTCAGGCTTATGAGGGTACCAAACACATATGTTGCACTTACATTTGTGCAAGAACCAGCCTAGCAAAAATAAAAATACTCTAAAGAGACATTTTGTGTCTCTCAGTCTATCACACTATTTACACAATGTATCTCAAAGAAATGGGAGTTTCTCCAGGAACCTCATGTAGGAAGAAGAAAAAAACCAACAGCAAAATGGGGAACCTGTCTCTGGGAAACAGATTTAACAGTTTTTATAGGAAAAATGTGGCGAAGAGACAGACAGACTTGATTTAAACAGACTAAGATTGTTTTATTGGGACAGCGAGAGGCCTCAGTCTTTCCGTGGGACGAAGGTTGGGCGTACTTGGAGGGACTGTGGCACACATACACACATACCTGGGTAGCTACCAGGAAGTTACTGTATTTTTTGAGGTTTGACCAGGAGCAGACTAGGTTGCTTTCCATATCTAAACATTCTGTTTCAGCAGGTGCAGATGAACGGTTAGGCTGGAGCTAAGCCGTTCTCTATGGCTAGGAGCTAATATCAGGCATATAGCCTGACTAAATTCCTCATGCTGAGGATATTACCTCTAGCATCTTGTCAGACCACCTTACAGGATGAGACCTGAGCCCATACAATGATTGGTGAGCAGGACCACACCTGCACTGGGCTGCTTAGATCTGCATTTCCTTCATCCTCTATTCAAACTTTGATTCCACTTCAGGACCCCGAGGGCTGACTTGGGTGGTTTGCTGCATCTCTCTGTTCCTTTCCCCAATGTGCCTAGATTGAATAAACCTCACCTTCCGCTTGCCACTTTCATTTAGTTAGCTTTTTTGTTTTTGTTTGTTTTTGAGACAGGGTCTCTGTATAACCCTGTCTGTCCTGGAACTCGCTCTGTAAACCGAACTGGCTTCGAATCCGGACATCTGCCTGTCTCTGCCACTGAATGCTGGGATTAAAGGCGTGAGCCACTAACGCCCGGCTTCCTTTTCATTTTTTTTTTTTTTTTTTTTGGTTTTTTTCGAGACAGGGTTTCTCTGTGTAGCTTTGCGCCTTTCCTGGGACTAACTTGGTAGCCCAGGCTGGCCTCGAACTCACAGAGATCCGCCTGGCTCTGCCTCCCAAGTGCTGGGATTAAAGGCGTGCGCCACCACCGCCCGGCTCCTTTTCATTTTTAATTTGGCTCTTTTAATTGCCTTATTGAGGACGGGCAGCTGGAGCTGACTTGAGACACAGGTTGTGACCCCAAACTGGACAACACTTTAAGAGAAGTGTACACAAGGTATGCAGCAACTCGGCTGTGTGGACTACACGGAGCGATTGAAGAAAGCCGGGATGGATTGCTATCTAGCTCGGTGGATCTCCAAAGGCAGTTCCAGCAGAAGAGGCTTTCTGGATTCACACAGGACAGTTCTCAAGCGACTGCAGGGAAGAGGAGGCACGAGGGGCCCAGGCATCTACAAGTGAAGAGGCGTTAGCAGTGCCTATATCCTATTTGAAAGGCAGAGGATTGGTGTTTGCACGTGAGGGCGGGATGCAAGGAGGAGAGCGGAAAAACTCGCTCACAAATGACAGGAAATTTCAGAAACCGAACACTCCGGGGGGACTTTGTGGACCAAAAGCCTCAGGTCGTCCACCTTTAGGATCCTCCCCGGGGCTATCTGAAACCCTTGTGTTTAAACACCTACTTTGGCGCGGGACCGGAAAAGTAGATGGACCTCCACCGGAAGCGTGGAGAACCCGGTGGGAAAAATCGACGGACTGAGCGGAAGCCCGTGTGGGTCTGAGAAGGTGAGCTGCCACTTCTCACAGCTGGGGACGCCGGGCACTGGGAAGCCCTAAGGAAGCCTGGAAGGAGAGGGTGAGGGGCTTCCTCTCTCCCAGAGCACCCAGCACCCGGAGGCTGGGGCGTGGTCGACTCCAGGCGGGCCGAGAGCTCAACGCCCGGTCTTCAGAGTGAGTTTTGTCTCTAGCGTGTGACCTCGAAACATCACCTTTCCTTTTTTGTCTTTGTGACTGGAATAATACTAGTGGTACCTGGAATAATACTAGTGGTACCTGTCGGAGGATTTCCGTGAAAACTCAATGAAAACACACGCGGAATAGTTTCTGGCACACTGTAAGCCCTAGATTTGCTGTACGTAGGTGTGGATACCGTAGTCAAAACTCATCGTTAGCTTCGGGCTGCTGTCGTCCGATTGCTGGGTTTGACTGTATTTATTGCAAGAAATTATTAAACAAAACACGAAGTTGTAGTGTTATTAGAAAAGTAGTAAGACATCTGAATGTTTGGAAAACAGTTAAATAATGGTTACTCATAATCCCACCATTTTACCTGTTTACTGCTGTAAGAACTTTTCTCTCTCAAACCTTTTTGTCTTAAAATAGTTTTTCTTTCTTTCAAAGAGGGTCACATAATGTCCAGCGTGTCCTTGAAGCTTTTGTGTATCAAGATGTCCTTAAATTCTTGGTCCTCTTGTCTCTATTTCCCAAATGCTGGGTTTTGTAGTCTGCACCCAAAGCTGACCAGAACTTTAATATTTAAAAGGTGTTCTTGAGTTAACAAGGCTTTACCTGGGAGACAGAGGCAGAAGGATCAGGAGTTCGAGACCAGCCTGGGTCACATGCGACTCTTACCAAAAAGAAAAGGAAATACAGAATCTCTTTGGCTGGGCATGGTAACAAATGCCCATAGTCCTAACACTTGGGAGTTTGATCCAACGCCTTTATTTACTTTATTATAAGCTAATATTTTGCCAGGTTGTGATGTTGCACGCCTTTAATCCCAGCACTCGGGAGGCAGAGGCAGGCAGATCTCTGTGAGTTCGAGGCCAGCCTGGTCTACAGAGTGAGTTCCAGGACAACCAGGGCTACACAGGAAAACTGTGTCTCAGAAAATCCAGTAAATAAAATAAGTATTATGTATGGTGTGTGTGTGTGTGCGCGTGCGCTCGCGTACATAATGGATATACATGGGCACACATATGTGTAGAGGACAGAAGAGTTTTGTGGCGTTAGTTCTCTCCTCCCCCTTTTATATTGGTTCTGGGAATTGAACTCAGGTTGCCAGGTTTGTTCAGCAACATCTTCATCCACAGAGCCATCTTACCAGCCCTTGTCTCAGATGATT